TTGCCATGTGGTTTTTATAATCAATATACCTCAAAGTTCATCCAGAAATGTAATAATTTCATCAGACAGAAGATACAGCTGAAGGTGGGGCAGGGAGAATAATGGTTTGGAAAATCTGTCAAAATTTACAAGTCAACAGAGACTCTCCATCTCTCACCTGATGCATGAGATGGGGACAGCTAGACAGATATCCAGCAATAAAATTACTCTTAAAGATCAGAAATAAGAACCATAGAATCTATGTAACTAGTTATCCATTTATTAATAAGAAGCTAATTTCAGTGAAGAAGAATGCCCAGCTGGGGGAGTTGGACTGGATGATCTCCAGGGGTCCTCGTCAACTTCAACTACTCTGTGCTTCTGTGAGACTGCTTACTACTACTACTGCTAATAATTTCCCTCTGTTCACATGGGACCCACATCACATTTTAGGTTTTAGGTAGCCTGTAGCATTTGAATCTCTTCTCCAGCCTAGTTGAGAGCAAAGGAAAATGAACTAAGATCTGCAGGCTTTAACACAGGAAGAACTGTTAGGATCCCAGCATATCTCCAGGTCTTGACAGGGCTTTTGGCAGGTACAGGGTAATTAGGTATCAGACCTCATGCTACAACACACTGGATCTCAAAAACACGGCCGCTGTTGCCCCCTCACCTTGTGCCAGGTCTGCAAGAGTTGCACCCCTTCTGCTGCTGACCATCTCCACTCTGGGAGAAATCCAGACATAATCCGCACCCTAGGGTGGTTCTAAACCACCATTCCACCTGATGCTGCTCACGTGCAGGCAAGTTCCTCCTCCTGGGAACTGGTTACTTCAGTTGCCAGGATTCCTGTCCTCCCATCAGGAATGAAGAAATACAGTAATCCTTCAGTTATACAAAAGGAGAGCATTCCAACACCAAAAAAAGGCCAAAAAATGTCAAGTATTTATAGCTGAGAATACCTTGGCCCACATGATCCTCCAAAATTTTGAAATCAGTGGTGGAAAACATACTTACTGTTCTACGATTGGCCTACTGCACTGCGCCTACTGCCAGCAGCTCTGTTCCCAGAGACACAGACTTTGGAAAAATTTGCTGGATTTGCTCTCCTGGAGCTACAGCCTCTGCTGTGCGAGCAGAAGGATGATTTGGACGGGCGTTACACACGCCAAGAAAGACAAAAACAGGAGCTCCAAAGCTGACCCACGTGGCCACCCAGAGGGCTGCCACCTAAACGTGCTTATAAATTAACAGGTATCCATACCCTATATACTCATGTATACATACACACACACACACCATGTATCCTTCCCATCTGCTTTCCACGTGGAATTGTGTTACTCCTCTTCAGCGCCCTGTTATTTCCTGAACGTCTGCTCTGTTTTCCATGGTTAAGAGATACTCAGTGATAGAGCCAAATTTTCTAATCTCCTTTCATCTATATCCCTCTCCTTCTCTACTATCCAACCCCTATCCCCCTTGGTATTTTTCGTTCTCAGCAGTTAATCCTTCGGTCTTGCCCTCCTGTCATGTTTGTCACATTATTGAACACATCTTCAATTTCCATCCTCAAACCCATTTCTAAAGAAATTTAGAACTTACATGCCAGAAATCAAGATATTAAGCATATGGAAATATACAGAAGGATGCAGACCCAAAACACATAACACCAGCTACATTTGCTGTTCTCCTCATTACATTCAGAGCTTGACCCTGACAGCATGTTATCCAAAACCCATGGATTTTATGAAGCACAAATACCTACCAAACAAAAATCTAGTGCAGATGTCTGACAGGAATTAGGAGGAGGGTTGCGGGGAGTGGAAAAGATGAAGCACTTGCTTCATTCTGGCAAGATAAAGAAGGGCCAGGTCATTTCAGATCCAGCACAGATGGGAAAGCAAGTGAGAAGTAGGCAAGAGACCAACTTACTTTCTAACTTTTTTAGGACAATTTCAATTACAAATTGTTATGTAAATTAAATAATGTACACATTCATCTTAAGATAGCTCTTTCTTTCACACAGGATTCTCTGCTTGCACAGTCTTTTTCTGAGCAGACCAAAAACTGCCATCTTTTCCCTGCCATGAGGGCAAAAAATATCTTTTTCAATATTTTCCCCCATGCACACTTTTTGGTAGTCCGTAAGCCTGACTCAGCCTAACACTTGTACAAAGCCATTATCAATGGCTAAAAGTCATGTTTCTCCACAGCCTCTCTGGGCAGCCTGTTCCAGGGCTCTGTCACCCTCACAGGAAAGAAGTTCTTCCTCACATGGAGATGGAACTTCCTGTGTTTCAACCTGTACCCATGGCGGGGGTTACGCCACCACCAAGAAGAGCTTGGTCCCATCCTCTCTGCATTCTCCCCTCAGGTACTTGTACACATCAATCAGATCTCCTGTCAATCTTCTCCAGGCTAAACAGGCCCAGCTTGTTTAGTCTTTTCTCATATGACAGATGCTCCAGTCCCTTAATCATCTTTGTTGCTCTGCGCTGGACCCTCTCTAGAAGCTCCACATCTCTCTCGTCCTGAGGAGCCCAGAACTGCACCCAATACTCCAGGTGCGGCCTCACCAGAGCTGAGCAGAGGGACCTGCAGGCAACGCTCCTGCTGATGCAGCCAGGATCCTATTGGCCTTCTTGGCCACTTCAAACATTTTTAAACACAAACGGATTTACTGCTGACTATGTGGTACTTCCAAAGCTGCTGGACCAAACTACGGGCAGGAGGACACGGTTGTCAGGCAGCAGACAACAGGGGAAAAGCAGCAGCCTGGGTAGGACACAGAGGGACAGCAGACTAGAGAGAAGCAGGAGTCAGGAAGGTGAGACAGAAGTACAAGGCTGGAGGAGACGTGCACAATGCATCACAGAAAAGATGTGATAAAGACAGTGAAAAAAGAGCCAGGGAGGCACATACAAAAGGCTGAGAAACATCTGCTGATCTGCCCCAACATACCCATTCCTCCTCCTGGTTTGGGTGGCAGCCCGTTTCCGTACATGACTAAACTAAGCACATCTGCTGTGGAGGGAAGCCCAGGTGGTGCCTCCCCAGCACTGTTCCCTCACATGATGGTGGGCTGGAAAGCAGCACAATTTCATTAGCCCTCCACAGGCTCGGCCGTGGCAGGGACTTACCCACACGCACATGCAGTGGGAAAAAAAACAAAACACTTGTAGGGTTTTGGTGTTGCTCCTTATTCTCTATTAAAATGCCAAGACCCAAGTCACAGGAAGCAGTGTCAGTACAAGAATTGCTCTGACAAGAAAGTCTCAGAAAATTACACAAGCATCTTTATGAACAAGGATTCTTTTACAACATGATGCCTCATGGCTGGGAACATGTGTTGACAGCAGCCTGTTTAAGGCTTAAACACATTCTGCACCATACAGAAAAGAAGTTCAAACAGCATCACATGTATTTTTATGATAGTAAGTAGGATTAGCATGCCAGAATAGAAAATACCATTACATGCTCAAGACACATTTAATACCCTTCCTAAAACTTGAGCACAACTACTTTGGCAAACTATGGTGCAAGGGGGATGCTTGGGCAGGGGATGTGGATAAAAGGAGGAAAGCCACCGGGCCAAAAGTTGCCTCTGCAGTGGAGCCGCTCTCCCCTCGGCCCCGCAGCGGGATCTACAGCCGGCGGCTTTTGCCTGTTCCACACCACGTTCAGCACCCCCGGACGTACATTAATGCATGCACAGTGGGAGACATAGGACTGTGCAAGAGCTAATATAGTGATAACTGCTCTGTCAGTATACGTGTGTTTTACTCCATTTTTGCATCTCTGCAGGAAGGTGATATAAACTACACAGGCACAAGCTGGTGCACGCAACTGGAAAACCTTAGTCAGAATTCCATTTTTAAAACACAAGGTTATACTCCCTGTGGCGCAGGGCAAAAAGCTGGGCATTGTTCTTTTAAACAAATACATATTCCTATCCAAATTATGCACAACCACAGACTGCAGTTTTTTCATTAAGCTAAGTAAGAGCAACTTTAAAGTTTTGAAATAGAACTGAAACTTCCATACCCAGCAGAGATACCACTTGCACTCAGAGGTGACATACTATTTTTAGGACCATGACATGAGCTGCATTACTCCTAGCGCTGCTCTTTGATTGAATTTTCAGAGTTAGACATTCGCAGCTTTGCATCTAGTATAAATGTTGTTCTAAATGCCCAGCGACATTAACAGTCAGAGAGGCTTTGTCTGAATAAAGCTTCAGTTAAAATTTTCGGTATGGAATCTACATAATCTTAGATTTGCATTTGGTAGGAGAAAAATCACCTCTCTCTAATCTCTAGTTACATGCCTCTATTATGACCTGTTCTAAACTTATCTCCTGGCATAGCAAGCGGAATTCCATTAAATGCACAGATAGATATTGGACACCTTGTTTCCACTTTGAGCTCAATAGGGAAGGTAACACTCACCCCTCGAGTGACATTAAATCTAGAGTAAGTTTTGTATTTCCATTCCATTTTTTACTTCCTTGCATCCCTTCCTCTCCACCCTCCCGCCCGGCGGGGAAGGGCCGAGGTCGAAGCCGCTTGTTCCGCGGCCGATTCCGACAGCTGAGCCCGAGGCTGCAGCGCGGACAGATGGGAGGGCAAGCGATGGAGCGGGAACCACCTCCCGCGGGGGGAAGCCCGTTTTAGATCACACTGGTTTGTTAAAGAAACCCAGGGAAACACACACATTAGTGTGACAACTGGGTGACAATTTAGACAGACCTGCTACCTAAGAAACATAGCAAGCTACGCGCCAAAGGACTATTGCTAATCAATCACAAGGGATTCTCCTTCCGAAATCTAAACAGTCTTAGCAGATGATTGGTTGAATAAAGTTATCAATTTGATTACTAATTTTAATTTTTGGATAAGAAAAGTATACAAGATCTTATGCTTACTGAGTATATAACTGAGTATATAATAATTTATTTTATTGATACAGACTACTTAAGTGTTGGGGGGGGGAAGGGAGGAGGGGAAAAAAAAGCTACTTACCACCGTGGGGTTACCGCTGCTGATCAACTGGCTGACTTCATGGAAAATGCTTTTGCAGTCGATTGATTTGTCTAAGGATCCCCGTTTCACTATTACTGCTACTGCTAACAAAATCTGCTCCCGAACATACTTTTGAAGGCTGTAAACAACATCGCAAAAACACATTTGCAAGTAAGGTTGTACATTCATAGCCACTAAAATTTGAAATACATTTTTTTCCCTAAACACTCTGTGTGAATGCTTAAGGGAAAGCCAACAACATCCCAGAAGTCAACCAAGCCTTAAAAAAAGGAACACATGAGTGTTGAAACAGTCTTTCGCCACAACATTTGGAAACAAAAAGCATAACAAGATGCTACGCCGAATCTTATTTGTCTAAGAGTTATTTTTTCTGTACTTACTTAGGCCTCTGTAAGACATAGGTTAGAAGGAATGTTCGCAGTGACTCAATGCTTGTTTTTTCCAGCAGAATCCATTCTCGTACAACTGCTTCCATTATCGCTGTAGCAGCTTGGAAAAGGACATAGTCCACTTTACTAGTTTCTGTTGAGAAAAATAAAGGCAATTAGAGTATCGGAAGACACACATAAATTTAACTTGTATGTATTTCCAAGGAAAAAAGATTATTGGAATTTTAAAGATTATTCTGTTACTATGAAAACAGACAAAGAATTTATCTTTCACAAGGGAGAAAGTCTATCAGTAACCCAATTATCGAATTGTCTAACATTATTTCAGTCGGGTCAGAGATTCAGGTGAAGAAAAATTGGCTGCACATGGAAACTGAACCAAATATCAAGACTAAAAATGGTAAAATGCATTTCTGGATCTACTGCCCCCCCCCTTCTTTTTAAACTTAGAAAGTGCAGGTAGCATGTATATTACAATATTCAAGTTTAACATATACCTAAAAATGAGCCAAATTATTCCTCTGTGGGAACCTTAACTCTGGCATTTTCTAACTTTTGGGTCTCTGACTTTGCAAATTGTACAAAGCTCACACAAACAGAGAATATTATTAAAAGACAGAGGGAAGAAATGTAATTTCTTCTTTGCATCAAGGTCTACGTATCCAGAACTGTAACCATTAACAGCACAGACATCCAGCGCTTAGTGCAAGTTTGTAACTATTATAAACTATTATTTTCTCTATGAAGCCATTAAAGGAAGACAAGAAGAGTTTTGCCACTACATTCAACAGCTATCAGCTTTCAGCAGAAGAATGTAGACCTTTGTGGGTTCAAGCCCAGGTTTCTAAAGAAACTGTATTATATTGACCGCTCCTCTTTTCCTTTCACTCATTATACCTGTTTTTCTGCTTGTGTGGCTCTTCTTTCCTTGCATGCCACCTACATCCTTGTTAACTTTCTTCTCCATCACAGCTTGTTTCCCTCCTCTAGATCCTTGATTTTGTAATCACTGCTGCCCCCTTCTCGCCTCTCAGGTAAAAATCAGCTCTTCTGCCCCTGTCGACCCCACGACCAACTCAAGAAGCACAAAACTTTGGAAAAAGGCTCCTCATCCAAGTCTAAACATTTTAACTGCTTAGTGGAGAAGCTGCTGCAACGAAAGCCCTATCCCAGATCAAGGCAAGCTTATTCTCAATGGACCGTTTAAAACGGTATTTCTGAACACTTGAAAGAGGTTAAAAATAGGATCACATTCTTTGCAAGCAGGAGTATTTCAGAAGAAAAAGGAAGATGCCTGCAGTAATAGTTCCACTATTAATGCTAAACTGCATTCACCTCTTCAAGAACAAGATGCAAAGATGCACCTTAGCAAAAGTCATACTGCTAGCTATTTATCTATTAAATTCCCATTATTTACTTACGGGTAGTGACAAATATACCACATAAGAGAACTGGAACTGTTGTATAAACAAATTAAATATATCATTTTGCCTGTCCACAGTTCTGTAAGAATCAATGTGAAAATGAAAAGCACCAGTTTGGATGACCTCTACAACAAAGAAGGTGGTTATACGCTTTGGGATCCAAAGAACTGCTGTAACATACTAAAAGACAAAGAAACTCTGTGATTTGTAGAGAGTTCGCTTGGCAGCATAGAGTATGAAAGAAGTTAAAAACACCCTGCTAATTACGTATTATACTATAATTTAACCCGAGGCCTGCAATATTAACGTAATAAATAACATCCACAAATTGTATTTCTTTGGCCCAGGAAATTCTGAAATAAATGTTAAAGAAATACGTCAATAAACATTATTTTAAATAATATATTAACATTCCTCTTTTCATTCTGGCAAACTTTCA